GCAAGAGTACAGCATCAATCCACTTATTAAATACGAGTAAAACTTATGTTCCCTTTTCTTATATATAAAAAAAATTAACAGTTTTAGTATTATCTTCTCTTACTACATGGGAGTTTAGATACACTCCTTTGCGGCCTACAACTCAAATATACCTGAAACCCCTAGCCAGCACAAGCACAACTCAGTCTCAAATGCTTCCCAGATTAGGACTGAATTTGAAGCCAGAACTAATTTTCCATGGTCACCCTAGGTCAAACAAAATTCTTAGGCTCTTATGATCTGGGCCTTCACCCAAAAGCTGATCCAAAACCAACCTTCAGAGATGGACAGGCAAGTATAATCTTTCCAGGATACTCACTCTAACACACTTAAAGATAATGAAGAATATTTGTAGCTCCCTGTCTTTACAGCATTCATTCACTCATGAAACATTTGTAAATGCCAAGCATCTCACTGACAACAATTATTTACAGGTGTTATCTTAAATATACTGCCCTGTACTTTCATTTGCAGAAGTATCTGAAAGAAAAAGTGTGGTGTGTGCCCCATCGAGTGGCCAAACTTGAAATTTCAAACAAGTTCCAGCAAGGCAAGTTAACCCTAACTAATCAACACAATACCTTTGAGAAATTGAAGCTTGCAACACAAGTGTTCTCATGGGAGAGTTTTACAAATGAAAATTGTAATAATGGCATGGCAATGTTTCCTTATTCCTGAATATAAGTGAAGTGCACTTTATACAGAATCTCTCCCTTTCCTAAATCCTGCAAAAAAAAAAAAATTAATCCATGACCATCCCTTTTTATTTAAATGAGAGTTTCACTGGGTTAGCTTTCTAGTCACAGATCAGCATCCCATCAAAAGTTTTTGAAAGGATATTATTAATTTAAAATGATGCTACCAACTCCATTATACTAATAAAAAAATAAGAAAATAAATAAAATTTTTATACAATATAAAAAATAAATAAATAAAATTATGCCATTAATAATAGTCCTTTAAGTTCTGTCCTCTTCATGTATCAAACATAATTAAGCCATAAAAATGCACAGAATTTTAAAGCTGGATGGGTCCTTGAATAATATGAAACTGTGAGCTTAGAAACCATGAAGTCCAGTTCTCTAACATTACAGATAAAGAATTTTAAACACCAAAAAGAGGAAGTGATTTTATTAGGATCACATAGTGTGACCTGACTCCCAATGCTTACACATCCAGTGCTCAAGATGCATACACATACACATATATCTTCCTAAACGAGTGGCTTAACCTCTTGGGACCTTTGGTTCCTCACTTGGAAAAACAAGGAGGCTGATAATCTTTAAATTCCCTTTCAGCTCTAAAATCCTATAATTAGAGACCTCATTATTTTAGTATCTTACAAAACTAAAGAATACACTGAAAAAAATCATTCCTGCTTCCTCAGAAACCAAAGAAACAAAGGACCCTAGGGATGAAAACACAAGTCAGCAGCCTAAGGCATTAAATATATTCACTTCTTTGCTAATATTCTGTAAAATATTAATGTGGTCATACTAGTCTATTTGGCTAATACTGGCCTAAGTTAATTTTTATTAATCAATTACAGAGTTCTAAGATATAGTCACCAATTCTAAATCAAAAAAGTATTCTTATAAAGATTTATTGATGTTATATTTTATACACCAAGATTTATACTCAAAGAGATTACTGAAAACAGGGATAGTCTCTGCTCATTTGTGTTTATTCTTTGAAAAAAATACAAATGGATCGAACAGATTTTTACATAGTTTCTCCATGTTATTTTTACATAGTTTCTCCATGTTCTATTCTTTTATGCTTTATTATTCTGCCTATGAAGACAGAATTTATAAACTCCACAACTTATATTTAAATTAAAAATTATAATAATTTTCAGGGTAGTGATGGCTTATTATCAGTAATAACTTTAACAATCCAAGGAATAAAAACTGTTAAAAGTTAAATCAAGAACTTATTAACTAGAATGGACCTTGAAAAGCTCTGGCCCTATATTCTTATTTTATGGAAGAAAAAAGAGCCTTGAAAAGGCAAAAAGATTATCCCCTAGATCTCATGACTAATATACACAAGAACTAGCACTTACTGTGTTACCATGTATACATAATATTACATATAAATAATACTACATTTAATTATAGATGTAAAACAAAACTTACAGCTTCTATCTAATCCTCTGTTTATTTCAAGTAATATTTAATACAGCAAAATGACATAAAAAGCAAAGAACAGCTCGTATTGGTTCACAGCACTAGAAAGCACCCTTGGCTAGAAATCAAGGATAATACACCAAAATTTCACCATCAGTGCTTGAAAAATAAATCAAGCATCAGTTCTACTAAGAGTGTTTTAAGAGCATCATATTTATATGAGAAACTACATATTACTGCATTATGAGAAGGCCCTTTTCCCTAACAAAAGCTAACAGATTTTTATGGATGTCCTTTTTCTCCAATGTTTTTAAGCTGCTAAAATTCCTGGATCCTAAAGACTCTTAATTATACCTCTTTATTACTTTTAAAGGAATAGCACCAACTCTTCAGAAACAACACCACACTGTATTCCAATCCTATAAAAATTTCTTTAATGGTTCCAACTTAAAAAGAAACATGCCCCTTATTTAATTTTGCCTACCAAACAATGAGTTTATCGAGGATGGGAGTCACACACAGTAGGAACTCTGCAGAATCAAATTTCAATTAGCTACATAAATGATTTTTTTTCTTTTTCAAAAACAGGGTCTCGCTCTGTCACTCAGGTTGGAATGCAGTGGTGTAATCATAGCTCACTGTAGCCTCGAACTCCTGGGCTCAAGCAATCCTCCTACTTCAACTTCCTGAGTAGCTAGGACCATCACACCAGGCTATTTTTATTATTATTATTATTATTATTATTTTATTGTAGAGACAGGGTCTCATTATGTTGCCTGGGCTGCTCTCTAACTCCTATCCTCTCACCTTGGCATCCCAGCGAGCTGGGATTACAGTTGTGAGCCACCACATCCAGCCCAAAAATGAATCTTTTGAAACATAATATATAACTGGCCTGAGAAAGATAATGCAGTCACACATACATTCAGTAATTCCGTACCTCTGTGACCAACCTAGAGTAAACATTTAGGAATAGTATCCAAACAGACTAAGTGAATGAAGAGTCCCAGAATCACTGTGGTTACTCCAGGCACAAAGCTGACATTACAAATCAAGAGGTAACTGAATTTTCAAACTAAATCTTATGCCTCCCCTTCCAGTCCCAGATATTCCAAATTAATACAATTCTGTGAAATAGTTAAGTGCTGAAATACTTAACATGACTCATAGCATACATTTAGCCACTATTACTTCTGCCCAAATCAAGCATTCCACACTATATAAGATGGGCTTCAGCATGCTCATGTCCTATGCCTCTATGAAGAACTGGCAGTGGTGCTGAAAATTACTACTAGAAAGAAGAAAGACCAATACCTTTCTTTCAATAAAGACCATTATTTGGACACTAGCCAAGGTTTTAAAACTGAATGTTATTAGAAACAATAAATCAACAACTCTACAGGCCAAAATGTAGTCCCTTATTTCATTCTTACTTACAAAATATGGCCACAAAACACTATAAGAAAATTAAGTAACAAGAAAGCATTAATAATTCTAAGCCTTTCATTTCTCACAATAATCAAATACTGTATGTTACAAATGAATTTATTTCACAATCTTCAAGACTGTTTAACCTACCTACATCCCTTTCCCTGTCTTCTTCAATTATTACAATTAATTATATGAATAAAAAAACTCACTGCTATTGCCTAAGCCTATCACAAAACTTATAAAAAAATTAAAGAGAACTAAAATAGTTTAATTCATAAAATCTAGCTAGCATATGTGTTTTCATATTGATTTTATATTCTTTGTTCCTGCACATAATATAGACATGAATTCCTGGAGGTTACAGATAAGTCTTTCTTTCTCTATCCAGGAGGTGAATTGCTAGCTACTAAGATAACCTATTGCAATGCTTAAAGTCCTTCAGGTAGCTTGCCTTCTAAATATATAAATGGGTTCATTATCTTTACTTTTCCTTGCATTAATGTAAGGTTCCTTATTATTATCCATTAAATATCCTCCAGCAGCTGTTATCACAAATTGGGAGAGAAGGGGAGCATGATTTCTGTAATACACAGGTAATGTATATTGTTTACAATATAGTAATTCTCTCCTTAGCTAACAAAAGTTATCAGAAAACCTGAAAATTTAAATAATTTTTTCTTCCCTCTTATCTCTTCCCTCCATTCCAAAACAACAGAAGAGCCAAAACCAAAGATGTGATTACTCTGTACACTTTATGCAATCACTATCTTATCAAAACAGAATAGTTGATTACAATATGTTTGCAGACTACAACCACTGCATATGTGATATACACTTAAGTTTCAACACTGTTACAATGCCTTTGTCAACAGCGGGCAAGTGGGAAAAAGCCGAAGGGCTCTGTGGAATGAAGGAAATCACTGGAGGGGCTTATCTCAAAAGAGAAGGATTCCTTGGTGAGAGGTGAGTAGAGAGAAGCAAGACCCAACCTTGGCGAAGAGGTGCTCGCCCGGGGTGGGGACGAGAGGTCAGGGTGAGCGGGGAGGAGGGGATTATCGCGGAACCGCCGCCACCGGGGGCTGCCCTCGCACCCTCGACTCCCCCACCTGCGGCTCGCCCTCCCACCACCATCCCCCAGCCCCGGCCGGGCTGTGCCCTTCCTCCCCGCCCGCCGCCCGCATATCCGTTACCCCGGCGGCAGCGGGGCTGCGGGGGAGGGGAAGGACGGCGGGCCGGGAGGGGGCCGGGCGCGACGGGGATGCCGCAGTGGCTCCCCGCGGCTGCGGGTCAAAGTCTGCCCCGGCGCGGAGCGGCGGCAAGAGCGGAAGGCAGCGGTGGAGGTCAGCACTGGCTAGACGGTGGCCCCTCCGAGTCCTCCCACACCCCGACTGCCGCCGGTACCTCATACTGGATGTATTGCTTCCTCCACTCGGGAGTGATGTGCGCGGATAGGTGCTCGGCGAACTTCATCCTGCCGTTTCCCTCTCACTCCCACTCGGGTCCAGCAGCTACAAGCAGAGGCGGCGGCGGCGGCGGCAACAGCGACTCCGACTCCTCCCCACATGGGCCCCGGCGCGGCGCGGCGCTGCGCTTCTCTCCTCCTCCGCCGCCGCCGAGATCTCCTCAGAGCCACCCGCCCGCCATCTTCCTCCTCCTCTCCATAGCCCCGCCCCACCTCGCCCCGCCCTCTAGACGTCATCGCCATGGTAACCGCCTACACCGCCCCAGAGAAGAGGGTGGTGTAAGGGGTGGGGTTTGGGTATATTTCATAAGACTCCGCCCCTTCTGGGCTGGACGCGCTGGAGGCACCTCCCCTGACCTCTTCAGTCTGGCTCTTGCTGGCCTACAGCTGCTCTCTACCGCCTGCCTGGGAAGCAGTAGTGTTGTTATTGCAATTAATATTAATACTGTGGCAACAATAATCCACCCAAGAAGTTCATATTTACAAAGAACTGTGCAAATATTTTCTCATTTTAATATTTATTCTTCATAAAACCCTTAAGTATGGATCAGCACTAATCCAAATTGAGTAGCTAAAAGAGATAGTTAAGGGCCAAATGTATGTAAAGGAATAGTATTTTACACACTCTAGGTACTCACTAAGCGCTTTTGAATTTAATTAAAGATATCACTGCCAAAAAGTGCATGCTTCTTCTACATTTCAACGTATTAATAATTGTCTAGTCCCAGGGCTACCAGAAAGGCCAATAACAACACCTGAACCCAAACCAGGAGTGGAGGTACCGACTGGACTTGTGACTGAGCTTGCTGGGGGTTGAGGATGAGAGTTGGAAGGGAAACCAATGTTGGGAGGAAAGAAACCCCTGGAAGTACAGTACCAAGCCTATCACCAGTGAAACCAGAAATGAGCCCAGCATCCAGGCTGAACTGTCCCTGGGGAAAAAGGGGAAGCGATCCCTCATAGGGCTCTGCACCACATTGTGTGTGAGAGTGATTGTCCTGGAGGACTGTTGTGAGCCAGAAAGCCAGGTCCCTCTTGGGTGGAGAGGCTCTGGATAATAATAATAGCTAACATTTATTGAATATCCCCTGTCCCTGTACCAAGCACTACTCTAAACCCCTTACATGTACTTTGTCCTTTAATTCTCACAATTTTTATGAGACCCAAACATTTACTAGGAGACTACTACGTTTGGGGCAGTATTCTGAGATATCAATCTCTGCTATTGTCTTTTTCCCCCCCTCCATGTTCTTTTCTCCTTTCCATTCCCCTTAGTTCATGCCAACAGGGGTTCTGCAACCCTCATTCCTCAGGAGAGGGATGAGACATGATGGAAAACAGGCATAGCCTATGAGTCTTTCTGGCTTTTGTTGTACAAAAGCCTCACCTCTGATGGAAGTGTACTCAGAGTCAAAAACATTAGAGTGAGGACTCCTCTCATCTCAGACCCCTACCCCTCTGCCCACCATAGAGATTCTCCTCTGCTGGAGGTAAACGTTGCCAGGAGAAAGAGGCAGCCAAAAGAGAGGTCTATGCTACCAGGGAGGAGGCACAAGCACAAAAAGGAAATCACTGCCCGGTGCGCCTAGGAAGACGGAACCAGGGGCAGCTGCAAGAGAGAATCCTGGGCCTTTAGCCAGACATGAACCAGAATGGTAAACTCTTAGGAGGAACCTTCATGGACCATGGCACGCTACTGCCAGCAGCACCATACCTCTGTGCCTTAATTGTGTACAAAATTCTGGAACCATGGCCCAACCCAGAAAAGAAAGGAAACCCTCAAAACTATCACTGAAGAACATGAAAATCTTAATTTATCCACAGAAATAAACTTAATAATAAATTTCCTTATTCCTAGCATTATTCCAAATATTTCACTGGTAGAACCCACAAATACTTAGTATTTATTGAACACCTACTCTCTGATCCCCTCTAAATCAAAATGGCATCCTGTCTTAGACTTTCTTTTGTGAATAGGCAAAAAATTCCTCATTTAACAAAACTTTATTGAGCGCTATATATTCCAGTCTTGCCATGACTATTGAGTAGGGAACCTGTGGCCTCAAGGCCACATGTGGCCCTCCAGATCCACAAGTGTGGCCCCTCAAAGGAATCCAAATTTCACAGAACGAATCTTTTTAATACAGGATTTGTTCTGTAAAATTTGGATTCAGTCCAAAGGCCATACCCAAGGATCCAGAAGACCACGTGAGGCCCCAAGGCCACAAGTTTCCCACCCTTATAAGGAAACAAACATCCATTTGACCCACAAGGAAGGGATGGTTTCACAGAGAAGCTGATTTTGAAATCCAGTCTTAGCTAATAATCTGATGGGGGAAAAGACACCCCAAGGATCTCAAAAGCAAAAAGTCTGAATTGTTAAAGAATGACAAGAAGGTGTCTGATCAGAATATCCTTTAAGGCAGTTCAATGTCCCCTCCTCAAAGAGTTTCTTTGCCCAATCCCCTTCTCTCTCTAGTCTGGCTTCCACATCACCTTGGTGCACTCCCCTTCCTGGATTGTCAGTAATACTTTGTATCAGACTATGAGCTCTTTGAAGACAAATTGCTCATTTTCATTTTTTTCTTCAATTTGGCACAGTGCATGGCACTCAAGCATTCAAAAAGTACTGAAAAAACAAAGGAAAGGCAGGGGAAGGAGGAAGGAAAGAGCAGGCCACATGGAGGAAAGTTGCAGGAAATAAAGTTAAGTTAGAACAAGATTGTGAAGAAATAGGTCATGACACTATAGGCAGCGTGGGGGCTTTGAAGAAGAGTAAGTAGTGAGTGACTAAGCCAGGTGTGGGAAAGCAGTATAGGATAGCTTCCTGGTTTTAAACACTGGCTCTGGGAATAGACAGGCCTGAATTTCAATCCCAACTCTGGCATTTACAAACTGTGTGACCTTTGGCAAAGTCCTTTAGCTCTTAAAGGCTAAGATGAGGCTGAGATGTGGCCAGAGTGGGCAGCAAGACAATTAGGAGAGAGTAGTGTCAAAGAAAGCCATACAAAGATGAAAGTTTCATAAAGAAGGCGCAGTGATCAACAATGACAAATATCATAGAGAAGTTGAGTAGTGTGACTTCTAAGCCATTGAATTTGGCAAATAGAGAGTCAGGAAAAAAATGGCTCTGATAGCACCAAGAGCTGCAGTCAAAAGGATGAGCAGTGAGCAGAATTTTGTTTTTGTATACCCCGAACTATATTTATTCTGTGAACATGTTGTAGGATGACCAGGAGTGAGAATTTAATAGTATACTCAGAAATTTATCTAGAAATCCATATGTGCTGAATCTAACACTTTATATTTATCACACTTAATTCTAAGTTTTGGAACAGGTATACTTATCACAAAGTAACTATTTTAAAACTTAGAATTATGTGTGATAAATATAAAGTCAAACTGTTGCTTTGAAAACAAGGCTGGTGATCATGCTGAAAGGTGAGGAACTGACCTGCAGAGAGATCAAATCCTAAGCCACACCTCCCGTTGAAGCTGAACAAGCTAGGATGGCACAGGAATAAAGGTCATATGGCTCAGACTCAAGAGTATATGGGGCCCAGTCCAGCTTTCGAATATGATGGGACTTATCAACCCAATAGGAATTAATAGATGGGCTTCAAATGGTTCATGATGCTTCTCAAATTACATGCAAAACTTTGTGTGTTATTTGAATATTTTTCTGATAAAGCCTCCACATCATTTCTCAAAAGTTTCCATAACCCAAAAATATTTTTTATATTCTTTTTTTTAAAATTTTTTTCAGCATATTATGGGGGTACAAATGTTAAGGTTACGTATATTTCCCTTGCCCTCCCTCCCCCATCATAACCCAAAAATATTTAGAACAGCACCAGGGCACTAATCTCCCCTTAAGCTGTCCCCCAACAAAATTAACATAAAGGATTTACAAATGAAGTTTCAAGCTATTCAATCCAGCAATTTCTAGTGTCAATTTTATTTTGACACATTGTGATTAAGTACACATTGGGTATTTCTTTTAAGAAGCAAAGATATTTTGCAAGTTACAAAAGAGCATTTATAATATGCATTCATTTGGTTTAACAAATATTTATTGAGCAGCTACTTTTTTTTTTTTTTTTTTTGAGACAGGGTCTTGCTCTGCCACCCCAGCTAGAGTACAATCTCATCATCATAAAATCCTGGGCTCAAGCAATCCTCCTGCCTCAGCCTCCCAAGTAGGTGGGACTGCAGGGGTGCCACCATGCATGGCTAATTTTTCTATTTTTTGTAGAGACAATGTCTTGCTCTTGCTCAGGCTAATCTTGAACTCCTGACCTTAAGTGATCCTCCCTTCTGGGCCTCCCAAATGGCTAGGATTACAGGCATGAGCCACCACGCCCAGCCTGAGCAGCTACTTTTTACTGGCACTGTTCAGGGCACTATGGATAGAGTAATGACTAAAACAAGGTGCCTGGCCACATGGAGCTTGCTGTCAGATGGGAGGATATAGACAATAAACAAACCACTATGCAATGGCTTAGATATAGATGCGTGTATGGAGACAAATAAAGCAAGGTAAGGGATAGAAAAAATACTATATGAGTTTATATAGGATAGTTGGGAAAAGGCCTTACTGATAAGGTAAGTAAATCTGAAGGGATCAAAGAACTATGTATGTATGAGTTGGAGATGGGTGCGTTGGGGTAGGGGAGATAAGGTTCAAAGCAGAGAAATCTGCAAATGCGGAGTCCCTGAGACTAGAATATCCTGAGCATGTTAAAGGAATAGCAAAGATGCCAGTGTGGCTAAAGAATGTTTCCACGAGAGAGATAAGGTCAAACAGGGAGTTGGGAGCCATATTGCTTAGGGTCTTATAGGCTGGAATAAAGACTTAGGCTCTGAGTGAATTGAGGCCTTTAGAGGTTTTGGGGATTTGGGGTTTTGGTTTTGGGGTTTTTTTGTTTGTTTGTTTTTTAGGTTTTTTGCCTTTACATGTGATAATAACTACCTTTTTTCTTCTATGCATTTTTTAAAATGTAGTAAAGATATATATTAACATACAATTTGCCATTTTAACCATTTTTAAGTGTATAATTCAGTGGCATTGTGCACATTCACAAGGTTGTACAATCATCACCACTATCCATTTCCAGAATTTTTTCATCATCCCAAACTGAAAGTCTATACCCAATATACAATACCTCTCCATTCCTCCCTCTCCCCAGCTCCTGGTCATCTCTATTCCTCTTTCTA